TGTGGTCAGCGAGATAGTCGATTTCTCCGCCACCGTAGACCACCCTATTGAACTCCGCCCGAACCGAGGGTAATTGAGGGGATTCAGGTCAGGTGACCTACTTGGATTCCCATCTTCTTCAGTACTCAGCCCCCCTTCCATTCCAGGTAGGCGAGAGTTTCTCCAAAGCTCTTCGACTCCTTGTGCGTGGACCCAGCTGCTAGCAGTACAAAGCTTCCGCAAGAAGGTACGGGCGACGACATGTGGGGAAGATATTCTTCTTGAGTTGGTCGATGTAACCGCCAGCGCTCAGCTTCAGCCCGGGGTCCACGAAGAAAATATTGGTCTTTCCATTCCAGGTGCGTCCGGTCCATACCATCAACCCGCGCCTTGGCGACTGCCGTGAAGATGATGTCCTAGACCGTAGCGACGTGCCGGAGCTGCACGCATGTGAGCGTCTTGCAGATCAAGAGGGCTTCGGTCTCCAGTAGCACTCCATGGGTGGACTTAAATTCAAGAAGTTTCACAGCTGTTTAGAGGTGACGTGAATTCCGAAGGTCTTCACCAGTCAGGTTGCGACTGGAGATGACTTCATATTTCGGAGTACATGAAGGTGATGGGCGAGAGCCAGCTCCTGCTTATCGAGGAACATCGTATCTTCCGCCCTGGTACTCGTATCCACGTCTTCTCTCTGGGCTGCGAAAACTTTGCTGATATGTGACTCGGTCGAAGTGACTTTTTTTTTGCCCCCCTGTATACACATGTATACCAGCAAGGAAACAAGCTACCAGATAAATAACTAGACGAATACATAAATAAATATGAAGGTGGTTGGCACCCATCCCGATCAAACATTTAATCGGGAGAAGTGGCGTGACAAAGTAAGGCAAGCGGACCCTGCTGCAGTGCGGACAAGCGCTGAGAAGAAGAAGAATACATAAATAAACAAATATTCAAATAAATAAGCATATAGAGAAAAACAACTACAAAACAAACACGCACACACACATGCACACACACACACACACACACACACACACACACACACACACACACACACACACACACACACACACACACACACACACACACACACACACACACCACACACACACACACACGCTGCACATAGACAACACACAGAACACAGGGTGAGACCCGACTCGGCGTCCTATTATCGATTCGTACCCGTTTCAAAAAAAACTACTTTATTTTAGTCGTTCTTTTTCTAAGATTTATGTGCCACTTAATACTTGTTATTGTTCGTCGAATAAGCAGGATTTTTGAAGGTTCTATTTGAATGTATTTATCAACTCTACCTTTATTTTGAATCCAAGTTCTTAGTTTGCTGTGTGGGACTTGCTGAAAATGTTAACCTTCCGCAGGACCAACCGCATCGCTCAATTGGAAAACTGATATATCCACATTATAAAAACAGTAATTGATTTCTGTCCCTCAAGAATCTTCCTGGATATCCGTCCGGAGATTGCTGAAAGCGTCACTCTTCCGGAGGACCATCCAACCAGTTCAAACGGAAGAATATTGTCTGTAGCGTACAGCAGCATTTGACTGATTTTCCTCGCTGGGGAAACTTCCTAACAATGAGGTGTTCATTCGAACAAGAAACAATGTGGGTTGATCTCACCATTGCAGGTCACAACTTCTTTTTGCTGTAGTCAGTCACCCTGGGTGGTGGTCTTTTAGCCGTCACTTTCGACCCCTACGTTTTTTTTCACACAGTTATTCTTAATATTTTATCTTCCCCTCATTCGACTGAACAACCTCGTTGTGTATCTGTAAAAATACAGAATCCTTCGTGATGTGACCAATAAACGTACTACCTCTGATGAGACATTTTTCAGGCCGTGTCGTTTGCATTGACAGAGGCCATTCATGAATTCACAAAACGGTCCTGTTAAAGAGCACGGCAAGAGACGTGTTGCCTACTATTATGATTGTGAGTATTTTTATTTTGTTTTTAGTGATTCATATAGACAGTAGTACCTCGATCATTAAACTATAAAATAGCAAGGCGAGCGTGAAGTAGGCTGTGGCTAAGCGGTATGTATTCTGCTCTTGAGCAATTTACGTTCGCTAGGGTTTGTAAGGTTGGATCACATCTCCTGCTGAAATTCCGACGGAATTAGCATAGAAAATATCACTCTGATTTCGAAATGAGCTGGAGTATGTAATATAGCTTACTTTTGTGAATTACTGGCGTTTATCTATTGTTTCGTTGCCTTCTTTTCGCAGTTAAATGGGAAAGTTTCGTCTGAGCCGCTGATGTTATTCAAATTTTTTTTCTCGAACTCCATAGACAAACGACATTTGCTGTGAAAAAGTTAGAAAAGTGGAATGTGGAAACTATTATGTCGGCCCATAAGTAATGACGTTTTTTTTCTAACTTGAAATTTCGCGTCAAAACGAAGTGCTTGAGAACTGCTTTCTATATTATCTGATAGAGTACGTTTTGCTCTGTAAGATGGCATTCCATTCCTTGGAACGTTTCATTTCCATTAGTTTTTCAATGCTGAAATCAGGGCACCCAGTTGACGAAAGTTAGCATTTTCGACACCCCATTTTTCATTTGATTAAAAAACGGAAGCCGTAAAATCCCATTTGTGAATACGTGGGCACTAACCATAAGCGATGTCCCTCAGGAAAGCACAAAACAGTTCGGACGATAGATCTAAATTTCGACCTCGGAAGGAGGCAACAGACACTGAATCCTATTGGGTTCGATTGCGAGCCTACTGAATCTGCTTACTTAGTTGATGCATGATTTGATTCACTTCCATGCAAAAAAATTTCGGTGTTGGTGGAGGTCATAAAAAGCTCTCTTATTCCCATTGAGCATCACCTTCACTCTATAGGAAACGTTGGAAATTTACTGAATAAGAGTCGCTCTCCAAGAGATTATGCAATCCTTCTTCACAAGGTCCGATCCCAACTCGTAGCTTGAACCAGCTTTGAGCTGGGCTAAAAACTAACTCCTTGGTCATACATACCACAAGTTTTGAGCTGCTTGTGTAATTTGGGAGCCTAGATTACGTGCAAAAAGGTGGTGTCAAAACCATTGTGTCGACCCGACAATCATTTCTACGAAGCAAAGATCGATGAAAATCAAGAGAGAATAGAAAACTAAGCTCATTGACTGGTAAAGCAGAAAATTATCTATGAGTCGGCATAGAAGATATCTGAAAAATCCGATTTTCAGACAAATTCCAACGCAAGAAAAAAAAGCGCCATTGCTTACGGGCGAACCAAATACATTCACAAGAATGCTGAGTTGTGGGCAAAAGTCGGACCACGGGACGGGATTCGAACCCGCATCTTCCGCTTCTCCATGCGAATGCGTTCCCTATTACGCTACCGAGGCCGCTCTTGCCCTCGGTAGCGTAATAGGGAACGCATTCGCACGGAAAGCGGAAGATGCGGGTTCGAATCCCGCCCGTGGTCCGACTTTTGCCCACAACTCAGCATTCTTGTGATAACTTTCGGATCGCGCACTGCGGCGTTAAACAGCAGTTATCAAACAATTACCCATACATTCACTTTCCGCCCAAGTAGTGGTCATGGAAAGCATATCCCCTCCGTCAGTGCGGAATCATGTTCAACTGAAACTGAAGTGAAATTGTTAAAGTATTGTATTGTATTGTGCTCAAGCATGATGATTTTGGCAATAATCTAGAATTGTCTTGAAGTTGTAACAACTGCTGGTCAAAATTAACTGAATAACTGCGATTATCGTTGAGAGGTTAAGGTGGATGGAGGTTTTGTAGAACCCGATCCCTTTTCACGTCAATTTCTGCTCTTCTCTGGCTCTCCCACCTGCATGGCGTTCTACGACCACTGCGATCTCCCACATTCCTGCACGAAAATGACCGCCACCTCGAAAATTCCCCTCCTTGGAAGCTGTCTCTATTTATTTGCGCTACATGGTTTTGGGATGGGTTGTGTGGTTGTTCAAGTACTTCCATCTTTGTCAGAATAGTTAGTATACCGTGGGGTTCACATTTCTAAATTCTATTTCGGAAATGATATACTGTTACATAACGCGCAAGGCTTCGCTGTTACCATTCGGATAGGATTGAATAGCTGCGGTTGTATGTTTAACTATCATTGGAATCAGAATTTAAAGCGCGTTCAGAATGAAACTAAGGTCTTTCTTATCCTCAAGATGGTTTCTAGGACTCGCCGCTTATTTAAGGGCGTTCATGGTCTGCCGACTCAGTGATTTTCAGATTTCGCGATTAGCATGTCCCGCTTTTTCATCATTCTTGTTGGCTCATGATCTCGGTCGGCTTGGAAACTGATTCTTTCGGTACCGCAGTGGGTAAAGGATCTACCCAGGTAGGACACTATAAAGAGCACAAAATAAGAACTAAGTGTAGGATCTTCCTTCGCTATGATGATCATCCACTTGCGCCCACGTAACTCCTCATGGTAGAACTCGGGCGGCTTCTCATCTGCATTCATACAAAATTGACGATTGTGAGTTTTTGGCGCGAG